CGCACAGCTGTGAAGGAGGTGAGCAGCATCAGCCAGGCCCCTTGTCATTGCCTCCACAAATCTGATTTTTCTGTATACCTTCCCACCCCTGTGTTTGAGAGGTCCCTGTTCGGGAATGGGAAAGGACGTTGCCCTATCCTTTATATCAAAGGCTCTAAGCCTGTTTTGGAGTGACCATAATCACCCAGGAATGCTTTTTGGATGTAGAAAATAAATCTATCTCCCTTTGTCTTCCTGCAGCCACAGGTTTGTGAGACTGAGGAGGGAGGGTTCAAGAAGACTAGGGGTTTGGTGGCCTTTTGCAGTAAACAGAGTTGTCAGCAGGTGGCGACCAAGTTTACTGGCCAAGCTGCCCAGGAAATAGTCTCCCAGAGCTAGGATTATCACATGGCCCAGCGTGGGTAGAGGGCTGGGACCAGAAGAGAAACTGTATTCGGAGTCTTTAAAGCAGAATTAGAAGTAAGCTGGGAAGGAGAGTGGGTTTAGGGAGAGTGAGGGAAAGAGAAACAGACACACATATGTATATATTAAATATGCATATATATAATACATATATAAATAGTTGATCTGTGTAGTAAAGCCTAACTCCACTGAGATGAGAGTTTGAGAAGGCAGGACATGTTTCAGTACTGTATCCTCCAGTTCCTAGCTTCTCCAGCCCCCCACCATTGGCCACTAGCTGTCTTACTGTCTTCCTTGTCCTCTTTTATTCCTCTGCCATACACTGATCGGGCTGGCTGGTGGCCACTTTTGTCAGGGTGGCAGGGAGAGATTGAAACCAGTGTCTCCTCAGATTTCACAGTTCACGTTAAGCCTTCTCTAATAGCCTGGCTAACAGAGTTGGCTGAGGGACTGGCTTCAGATAGAGTTCCTAGGGGCAGGAACATCTCTGGTTCCTAAACAGAAACCTGGAGGCTAATGACTCAGAGCCTGCTGGGGAGCAGCTTCCTCTCCAGTGCTGGAGCCCAGTGAACCCAACCCTACCTGCAGGAGGAATCAGGCCTGATATTGGGGTGGAGAGGGGAGACATGGCCTGTGACTCACACCCTCCCCTTCACACACATATATTTACATGTGTCCACGCTCATACACAGATACCCTGCCTCTCCCTGGGTCTGGGTTAATGTGCCTTACCCATCTGTCTGCTCAGCTTTCAGTGCAAAACCAGGACCTGATTGAGAAGAATCTGACGCTCCAGGAACACCTGCGTCAGGCCCAGCCAGCGTCCCCACCTTCACCAGACATGGCCCATCTGGCACTTGAGCTGCACCAGGAGTTGGCCAGCTGCTTTCAAGATCTGCAGGCTGTCTGCAGCATCGTGACCCAGAGGGTCCAAGGCCATGATCCCAATCTCTCTCTGCTCCTGGGCATTCACTGTGAGTCCCCAGGCCAGTCTGGTCCCAAATAGAGGGGCCTTTATTCTCCCCTCACCTCTATCCTGCTTTCCCATCCTTACGGCACTGTAGGAACAGGGTTACATAGGTGTTTCACAGAGTAGGTGTTCAGTAGATCTATTTTGGAAACAGGCATCCTTATGGGGCACTTGCATGCAGATGCTTTAGGCAGCAAGTTATCAGCCCACTATCCCCAGCTGCTTTTCTAAAAGTGCCATTTCCCAAGATCTTGGGCCTTAAGGTGCTGCCCATCCATACTGCCCCCTTCACATGAAAGCATCTCCTAACTGACCTACTGACTGACATTCTCGAAACACTCTCGTCCCCAGCTGCACAGCACCCAGGGACCCAGCTTGACTTACAGAAGCCGGATGTGATCAGGAAGAAGCTAGAGGAGGTTCAGCAGCTGCGCTGTGACATCGAGGACTTAAGGACCACCATGTCAGACAGATATGCCCAGGACATGGGAGAAAACTGTGTCACACAGTGAGGAATGCTGGGGGTGTGGGACAGGCCCTATTCCCCCAGGGTGGGTGTGGGCTGCTGAGAGCCCAGTCCAGCAGGTCCCTGCCCTGACAATCTCTTGCCTACTATCTGCTGCTATTCCTAGAGAAGAGGGGGCAGTAAGAGTCTGCATCTGGGGGCCCAGGGCTGATTAGGGAACTATGCCTGCCTTGCCCCACACTGGCTTTGCCTTGTTGGATTACATTTGTCCTCTCATCCTGATTCACTCTTTGAGGGTAAGTTACTAATTAACTTTTGCAGGCACCAAAAGTTCTTACACACTGCTTCTAGCCCCAGGCTGACGTCAGAGGCAAACAAGTTGCTTACATCCCTTCTCCATTCTCTGGGTTGGATCCACATTCATTCCTACTCCATACCTTGATCCTGTTGATTACCAGCATTCATTAGAGAGGCCTAGAAAGGCTGAGTACCAGAAGCAGTGGCTGTTTGAGAATTCTCAGGCCCAGTTCCACTGCTTCTTCCTCAGGGCTCTTGTTCTCCCAGAAGCCTCAGGATGATCTTTTCATTAGCAAAGTACCCACTAGGATTGGAGGCCCAAAGATAGCAGCCAGGGCTCCTTACTTAATCTGCTCACCAAGACATTTTACAGGAAACCCTGTCCTCTAGCAGCCTTCTGCCGCTGGACCCCTGGCCATGTGGTTAGCACAGCCCCCTTTGCTTTTCAGGCCTTCTTGGGCTTTGTAAATTCTTCTCCTCTGTGATTCAGGACTTGACTTGGGTAGGATTTTTGCCTAGAATGCAAAAGGGCAACTGTCCAGCTGCTCACCCTCTACCCGGGAGCTGGGGCTCAAGCCTTGCCTTCTCATTTGTGCCTCTCGTGTTTAGGGGGAGACCTTTCACCTTCTTGGCTCTAGGCTCCTTGAGAGTTCAGAGTACCTAGTACAGGTTGGGTTTAAGTTAAGCTTTCCATGTTTTTTTTTTGTTTTTTTTTTTTCCTTCCATTTCTCTGGGAACTTGAGACCCTCTGCTTTCTGGTTTCTTTCCTTGGTTTAGGGGGCATCTCACAATTGTTTGTACCTGGCTGTTTGGACTGGGCCCAGGCCTCCTCTAGATCTAAAGCCAGGCCAAGCAGGGGCCCTGTGGGTGTGAGGAGCACTAAGCCGTTCGGGAGCCCAGAGTCAGCCACGAGAGTCTTGCTAAGCTTTGAGCCGTCGGCAGTATCCTGGACTTCACTCCTAGGCCTGAATGAGGCTCCTTAAGTGTTTTTACAAGTTTGTGTTTTATTTATGGAGTGACTTATCCCTTTCATTCAGAGCAGCCCCACCCTGCCATTCCCTCAGCCTCTGGGCTTCTGCCTCCTGAAAGCAGAGCCGCCTGGTTGGTCACCGCCCTGTGTTGGGAGCCCAGCCACGATGCTCATGGGTATTTTTCCTTGTAAAGTTTATAAGCAGTTATTTATATGAATCTTTGTAATGTCAACTGGTTTGTATTGCTTATTTTGATTACAAAATAAAATATTTATCAGACTCCTCAGTTTTCCATAGCCTTCCATCACTACCATGTCCCTGCCTTACCCCCATTTTGGCTTGTTGAAGCCAGAGGCTGGGCATTTACCCAAGTTCCCCAGACAGCCACAAGGAGGGACCTTTGGCAGGATCTCACATCAGTATCTGTACCACTTACTTCTGCTGCTCTGTTGTTCTGTGAGTGCAGATGTCTACCCACACCCCTTTCTGTTGAGCAAAGCTGTCCTGAGTCATCGAGCAAGTTCATCATTGGAAAGTTTCAGCAGTCTTCCCAGAGAGGAGGTCTGGCTGCTTCTGGGTTACTGTGAGGAAGCAGCTTCCCCAGAGCAAGGCAAGGCACCGTTTGCCTCAGGGCAACAGTCTTGCTGGGCTGTTAACCTGTCTGAGCACTGGACCTGGGGGAAACTTGGGGCATCATGTCCAACCCCAGACATCTAGATAAAGTCTCCAAAGCTGGGCTGGTTGCTAGGGCCTGCTCCCTCTGAACCTCTTGAATTTTTGCTGAGAGCAGTTGCTGTTTAAGAGTGCCATCCACAGCATGGAGTTAAGGTTGAGCTGGGGGGGCCCCAGGACCAGTTGTGAATCTTCAACAAAGGGCCAGCTGAGGCCAGGCTTTCAAGTCGTAACACTAACTTCTTCCTTCTTAACTTTCAAGAGCCTCTTACCTTGGTCTCCATCCTTGACGGTGTGGCCAAGCACCCTTCCTTGTCTAAACCTGCCTCAGTGGGGAGGAACTTAGGGGGAAATCTCCAAGCTGGTGATGCCCCTGCTTTGGTGTGCTTCCCCTTCCCCAGGGTTATGGTGGGGGTTTCCCTAGGGGAAGGGTGTTGGGGAGGTGGACCTGGAAGGAGGTTCCCTAGCTTGGGAACTTTGAGTTAGAAAACAGCCTAAGCCTTCCAAAGCCCCAGCTGAGCTGTATTATCATAGCTGCTCCTTTTGGGAGCTAACTGTGGCACTGGAGTGGGTGGGTGGGAGCACTAAACCTGGGCGATGGCTGGGGCGCTGGACTTTGCCAAACCCTTGCCCTGCCCTCCTCGGCCCTCCTGCCATCGGGTCCCTCCCCAGCCTCACACTGTGGACCCCAAAACAGGGTAGGGCAGAAGAGGGCGGCTACAAAAGGAGCGGCCCTGCGTGGGACTAAGGTCCTGGGCGCCCGGCCCTGCGTGGGACTAAGGTCCTGGGCGCCCGGCCACAGAGGGGGAGGGGAGGGGGGCCTCCGGCGCGCGGGGCGGTGTCGCGCAGGCCCCGCCCCAGCCTCGCGCCTGCCCGCGCCACCCATTGGTCCTGAGAGCGGTGACTCGCGGGCTGAGCAGGAAGGAAACCGCTCCCGAGCGCGGCGGCGTCGTCTCCTGGCCGTGCTGCTGCCGCTATCGCTGCCTGTCGGTCTGTCGGTCCTTCCGTCCACCCGCAGCATGAGTGGCCTGCGCGTCTACAGCACGTCGGTCACCGGTTCCCGCGAAGTAAGTGCGAGCCAAGGCGGGCTCCAAGGGAAAGGACGGGGGCCGTGTCCCGGAGCTCCGGACCAGGCGCTCGGGACCCGCCCCCAAGGACGGGGGCGGGCCGGGGCGGGGGGTGGGGGGCGTCGAGGCCCTGAGCTCGGCCTCCAAGATTTGGAGGCGGGTCCGCAGCTCCATCCCGGGCTCCTTCATCGGGCATCTTAGGTTCCCCCGCGGCCCAGCGTGAACTGCCCGCGCCCATCCTCTGTCACGCGGACAGCCATTCTCCGCACCCCCACTACCAGGCTGCCCCGACCACATCCTTATCCTGCCTTCTCCACCGCCGTGTACGCGCGTGGGGTGGGGGTGGACCCTGACCACGCCTCCATCCAGGGCTGCCTTGCCTCCCCTTCGGTCAGCTCCTGGCTCACCTCACCCCGAACCTTATCTCGCTTCCCCTATTCTGACCCTTTCCCACAGTTGGTGGTTCCTCGCTTCACCCTACACCACAAGTCTAACTCCCAAATGACCAGTGGCTAGAACCCTTCCCCAGAGTGTGGAAGGGGCAGGAGAACCAAAGCTCCTGGTCACAGCCCTTCGCACGGCCCAGGCTTCCCCCCGCCACATCCCCCAGCCTGCCCGCTGACCCCTGCCGGCCCTCCGCCCCCAGATCAAGTCCCAGCAGAGCGAGGTGACTCGCATCCTGGACGGCAAGCGCATCCAGTACCAGCTAGTGGACATCTCCCAGGACAACGCCCTACGGGATGAGATGCGAGCCTTGGCAGGCAACCCCAAGGCCACCCCGCCCCAGATTGTCAACGGGGACCAGTACTGTGGGGTATGGGCCTGGGGGCTGGAGGCTGGGGGGAGTGTCGTGGAGGTATCCCGCCAGGGTCAGACGTGAGACAAAGCACTAGTGGGCGTCCAGCGCCAGCACTCAGGTGGCCACCCTCACCTCCCTCCCCCAGGACTATGAGCTCTTCGTGGAGGCTGTGGAACAAAACACACTGCAGGAGTTCCTGAAGTTGGCCTGAGCCAAGCCCACCCATGGTCCCCCACTGGACTCCGTCACCACATTCCCCCCTCCTCCCCCAGCCCTCACCAGGCCATGAAGGACCTTGTGACCAATTCCCTGTCATACTTAACCTTCTGACCTTGGAGCCCCTTCCCCCCAGCCCAGGCCCCTTCTCCTCTAACTGTAGCCACCTCTCCTCCATTCAAAGGCAACATTCCTTACCCACTAGTCTTAAGCAACAGCTCCAGTGCCGGCTATCCCAGCCAGCCTTGAGGCTGCCACCCTGCCTGGTACTGGCTGACAGGTACCTCTGTTGGTGCCATCAGCCAGGGCTCTGCCAAAGGCCCCGCAATCCCTGTCCTGGGAGCACCCAGAGACAATTAAATGTTCCATTCCATTGGCATTGTGTCTGTTTGGTTGTGGCCTGGGCATCCTGGGCCCTGCCCTAAGCAAGGCTGGGCGATGTGACTCTGCTGAGGCTGTGCTCCTGTGGGCAGGATGGCTGAGCTGTCCCCATGTGTCTGTCACCTTCGTGTATGATGGTGCATGTGCTTGGATATGTGTTTGGCACACACAAGCCTGTGTGGACCAGCGTTTCCTGGAGACTAAGTGGGTGCCCCCAGGTCACATGCGTGGTGTCCCCAACACTCCTGTGCCTTGGTGTGTATGCATGTTTGCATGCCTGTCTCTAAATGCGGCTTTCCGGCGGCTGCCTGCCTATGTGCTGGCAGGCTGGCTGAGTGTGGGTGTGTCATGGGAGTGGGTGCACAGCTGCATTGCTGCCAATTTGGGGGCATGAGAGTAGTTGTGGCCGGGGCTTTGTGCATACTGTGGAAGTGTCTGCACATGCTTGTGGCTTTATACACATCTGTCTGCACAGGCATCTGCTGATTGCACACTTGCACATGTGAGGCCCCGCTGGCCCAGCTGAGGCTGAGGATGGGGGAACTGTAAACTCAGCTAGGCCGGCCCCTCCCTGCGCTGGATCCGCTTAGCCCTGGTGGGCGAAAGAGGAACCTGGAGGACAAAGACCCAACGGCCAGGCCCGCCAGCTGGGGCTCCGGTTACTGATGGGCGGGTCCGTGCCGCCCCCTCCCCGGCCCAGCTGGGCTCCCGCCCTCCCTGGCGCCCCGCTGGGCGGGCGGGCCTAGAGAGCCTGGCGGAGCAGCCAGTGGCGGGGGCGGGTGCTTTATTCAGGGCTGGGGCTAGGGTCTGGATTGAAGCAGGGGCGGCCCTCTGGGACGGGCGGCGGAGCCCGGCGCGCCCGCAGCAGCAGGGTCGCGTTAGGCACCAGGCCTGCGGCCTGCAGCGTGAGCGCGTTGTCGTCGTAGACCGTGGGCGGGAACGTGCTGAAGATCTCGAACGTGGTGGGGTCCACAGCCCTGGGGACCGGGCGGGGCGAGTCAGGCCGGGCATGGAGCCAGCGGCCCCTTTGCAGCCCGCGCCCCAGCCCGGAGCCCACCTGGCCTGCGCTAGCAGGGCGCGCACGTCGCCCACAGTGTCCTCGGGCCGCATCATCAGCAGGAATGCCTGCTCGCAGTTCTCGGACTTGATGCGCAGCGTGGAGAGTGGGGGCGCCGGCGTCTCAGGCGACCCCTGGCTCCTGCGGGCCCAGGGCCATCAGCGCCCCTGTAGCCCAAGCCCCGGCCCTCACCTCTCAGCCTGGCCCTCACCTCTCACGCTCCGCGGCCAAAGCAGCTGTCTCCACCACGATCTCCTGGATCCGGACTGGCAATGGGCAGCAGTTCTGGAAGGCAAAGATGGAGAGTGGACAGAGTTCCCCACCTCCAACCCTTAGAAGAAGACTCATCCTTGGTCACGGATGGATGAGACCAATGGGCAATGCAGGGTTAGTGGGGAGGTTGTTCTGTGTAAACTACGGCCCAAGGAGAGGAAGTGGAGAGGGAGGTCCCTCTCCGGGAGGTGGTCCCGTCATTCCCCCAAGAAGCCTTGAGCTCCCTCAGTCTAGTGGGGAAGACAGAACCCCACAGAGACCACAACCAGGCAGGGTGCCTCCCTGGGGAAATGGCATCTGGGCTGTGCCTGAAGCATAAGGAGTCCTTAGAAATGGGGGGATGGGGGGTGGGGAGAATGGCAGCAGGGATATTCCAGACAGCATAGGCAAAGATCTTGAGCTCGGTAAAGGCTTCCTAGAGGGGGTGCTACATTAGGGAAACTGCCAGCCAGTCGCGAGGTTGAAGCTGGAAATCAGGTTGGACAGGAAGAGAGAAGAGGTGGGGAGGGGCTTCGATGAGGAGGGCAGGGATAAGGAGCATGGCCCTATCCTCCCAAAAACCACTGGAGGATTTCAGCAGGGAAGTATCCAATTTACATTTCCAAAAGAGCACAGAGACTGCTGGGAGAGGGCTGGCTGGAGCAGGAAGGCCAGTGAAGCTGTTGCAATTGTCTTGGGGGACACTCTAGAGCCTACGCTAGGCTGGTGGTGCAGTGGGAATGGAGAAAAGCGATGGATTTGGGAGAAGTTCTAGGAATCGACAGACCAGACAGGATTTGGCAGTGTGGGGGTGAAGGAAGCAGAGAAGTCCTGGAAAACTGAGGTTTGGTGCCTTTCACAGGTGGAGACCTGGGAGGAATAGCATGATGGGGAGTGCGGGTAGATGATGAACTCTGTGAGGGCCAGCTGAGTTTAAGGGGCCTGGGGGCAACCAGGACTGAATTCTATATTTTTGTCTGAACTGTGAGAGGGCAGCCTGGGCCTTGGGCTCATCCCATGGCCTGGACCCCAGAACTTTTCCCCTCTTCCTGCCACATCCCCCTCCCCCAACCCACTGCTGGGTCCCCGGCCAGAGCTCTCACCAGCTCTACATATTCCAGGGGACAGTCCAGGCCTTCATCAGGGCCCCCAAGCCTGAGCCTCTAGACAAGCCACTGCTCTGGAAGGCTGCGCCAGGGTTGGTGGTGCACACCCCTAAGTAGGGCTGGAGGAATTGGGGCTGGTCTCACCTGTAGGGTGTCCCGGATGGGGCCACGGATGTCAACCACCTCTCCTTGCCGGATCACGACCTTGGGCAGCCTGTTCAGAAACCTCTCAGCAGTCATCCTGGAACCTGCAGGGAGGAGGGCACTGGGAGCCTTGGTGAGGGGTTGGTGGGGAGGGGGAGACTGCGAGGGATGGCAGAGGAGGTCACCTGCACAGTCCCCCAGCCAGCAGGCTCAGCCTCAGGGCTGAGCTCACCTGAGTTTTCCAATCTGCCTGAGGCCTTGCGTATCTTCTGCCAGCCCACCACACGGCCCTCGCCTGGGAACAGGTCCAGCCCATCCTCCGGGTAGAACTGATTGCGAAGGTCGCTCACCTGTCAAGAAGGAACGGCAACAGAGACGGGCCCAGCTCTTCAGCCCTGGGCCCTACCTCCACCCCTGCTTGCCCACACAGAGGCCTCAAACACAGACTCTGGGAACAGGACCAAGGGATAGTTCAGTGTGTCTAATGCAATTCCCATTTTACAGACAAGGAAACTGAAGCCCTGGGAGAGAGCAGGGGAACCACAGTGCATGTTGTTACCACCTACCTGGGCCCTGCTCCTCCACCAAGCAGCCCTGACCTATGCCAGCTGAAGCCACAGCACTGACATCCCCCTCAGAGACTCCGTCTCATGAGCTGACTGTGAGGGGAGGATACTAAGAAAGGGCAAAGCCCTCTGCTGTGGTCTAGTCTGCAGGGTAGACCTCATCATCATGCATATTACCTCACTTGCCCCCATCAAGGCCTACCTCTTGGTGGCATCTTGGCACAGACTGCCTCCAACGCCCTCTGTTATGACTCACACTTTCTTCCTAGCTCTGGTGGCACATGCCTTCTCATTGTGGAACTAACTTACCCACCCTCTGGGACATACTCCCTCACGTGCTCCCATAGCAGCACCCCCAGCTCACACACCCCAGCAGGGACCAGTCCCATACCGTCCTTCAGCCCCAACATTTGCCCGTTTCTGTTCTGCATTTGTGGCTCACAGGACTGCCTTCCACCCCGACTGATGGCTTCAGAAGCCTCTGAGGGAAGCTGGGCCACTTTTGCATAGATTCCTCAGGGACCTCAGACTGTCAGGGTGTCCTGAATGCCAAGGGGGAAGAGAAGGGCAGCAGTCCTGCCTGGCCAGGGCTGTGCCTTCAGGGTGCCAGCAGAGGGTGCTGCCTGCTGCTCAGCCTCAGTGGACCCCACCATATAGCAACCACAGCCTCCCTGCTCCCTTCCCAGCCCAGCTTCAGGCTCACCTCCGGGAGGTCATCAGACTAAGGTCCCCGGAGGGTGCTGAAGTGGCTCCGCACCGCAGACTGCGTGACCCCTGAGAGGGAGCTGTTTATCCTCACCCTCTCCAAAATCCCCACATATGGAGGGGGTGGTCTGAGGAACAGGCCATCACCTTAAAGGGGACTCCATCAGGGTATAGTCGCTGGAGCTCTGAGGGGAAGAAGCCATCCAAGATGTCTCGAAGGCAGTGCTGCAGGTGGGAGAGGGAAGGTGAGGCCTGGCTGGACATGTGTGGGACCCCCCAACCTGCTTCCTCCCTGGATGTTAGGCCCTTGGTGCTGGGCTAACCCAGTGGATCACTATGGAAATACTCAGAGCCCCAGGATTTGGGTGGGGGCCCTCTGCAAATCGTGCATGAAGCACCAGCTGTGACTGAGCCTAGGTGCCTGGGGGAGTGCAGGCTGGGCCTAGGGAGAGCTGAGCCCCACCATCTCCAACTATTGGCAGGAAGGTAGGAGCGCCAGAGCGGCCTGTCTCCTGCTCTTACCTGCGTGGAGGGATCGTAGAAGGGTCGGAAGGGCCCGTCGAACATGATGATGCCATTCCGGTAAAGCTTCAGGGGGATGGGCTCAAGGGCACAGAGCCGCGCCCTGCCGGGCACTGACGTCACCTGGGTCTCGTCCTCTACCACCAGCTCACTGAGGTCCTTCAGGCTGGCCAGCAGCCTGTCAAAGTCCACTTCTGGGGGCACCACTGAATCCCCTGGCAAAGAGGGCGGGCACCCATGAGCCTCTCTCAGTGGCGCCTGTGGCTGCCCTCCCCAGGCTGGGCAGTGGCAACTCCTTAAGTGACTACCTGAGGAGGAGAAAGGACAACTATCTTTTATTGAGGGCTTACTATGTGCTCACATTTACTCCTCATACCAACCCTCTGCTGCAGAGGCTTGATCATCCCCATTCTTCAGATGAGGAAACTGGGGGGTAGAGCAGGTAAAATGACTTGCCTGGGGACACACAGTGGTAAGTGGCAGAAGCAGGATTTGGTCCCAGGTCTGTCTGTCAGGCACTGGGTTGGCAGCTTAAAAGCACTGAGCAGAGCTCCAACTCAGGATCACAGCAGTCTGGGTTCAAATCCCAGCTCCTCCATTTCTAGCTGTGCAACCTTTGATCAAGCCATTTAATGCTGTGCGCGGCAGCGTTCTCTAGAATGGGGTTATGATAGCATCTATCTCCTAGGATGGCTGTGAGGGACCAAGATGCCCGCCAGGTAAGGGCCATCTCCTTGCAAGCACTCTGCGCATGTTAGTTATTGTTACCCACTCTACCTTGCCACAAATGATCCTCAGGCCACCCCTGAGGCTATGAGGCAGGTGTCATTTATCTCCACTTTTACACATGAGCAAACAGGCCCACAGCAATGAAAAATGACTCACCCTAGGCCACCTGGCAAGTTAGAGACAGGGCTGACTTGAGTGTTTTTCCTGCCCATCTGCACCATCAGGAGAAGAGGGTCAGGGGTTAGGACAGATGTCTGTTAGGTAGGATGTTGGGAAAGCTAGGGCAGACCTCGGGCTGTGCAAACTGTTTCTGGGTCACAGACCCCTGTGAGAAGCTGACGTGAGCTTTGGCCTCCTCTGAAACACATGTGAACATACAGCTGTGCGTAAGCTCTGGGGGGTGAAGATGGGGCGGTGGGGACAGACACGACAGATGCCACAGCAGCAAAGGGAGAGGTCAGGAGGAACACCAGCTGTTGACGGCTGGGGTCTGTTCTGCGTCCTTGACATGACCTGGTCCCCCAAATAAGCTATCTACCAGGGTGTAACCAGACCCAGCACACAACACCGCAGTGACTTCCTGGGCCTTCTTGGAGGCTGTTTTTCACCAGGACAGCCAGGCTGTAGCAGGATGTGGGTCAGGACTCTGGGGACCCAATTCCTTTCCCCACAGAGGGCAGCAGCTGTGCCAGGTAAGTACGGATGTGGGTGGCTGTGCTTCCTGTTGCCTTGTGGGAGCTGAAACAGTAAGCCCCAGCTGGCCTTCCCCTCTCCCCACATCCCTGGGCTGCACCTGCCCCCCACCTCCACCTGAGGTTCCCTGGAGTCCTTCAGATCTCAGAAGAGGCTGGCAGGAAAACCTACTCAGACTGCCCTGAGCATCCCTGGTATATCTGGATTCAGAACAATATCAAAACGTTACTTTCCTTTAAAAACTACTTTAAGAACAAATTGGTAAACCTAAAAATAACAATAGAGAAGCTCTCTCACCCAACGCTGCCCCACCCCTATTCTTACAGATGGGAGAAGTGAGGCCTGAGAGGTCAGGTGACTTAGCCAAAGCAGACCACACAGCACAGAGCCAGGAGTGGTCACAGGGACTCTGACTCCTGATCCAGTGCTCCTCCCCCTGCACCAAGCTGCCTCCAGGGGCCAAGGCTTTTCAGGGAGCTCATGGGCATGGGCGGTCCACAGGGAACGGGGCAGGAGGAAGCCCAGGGGATGATGCCAAGACAGAATGAGAGGGAAAAGAGAAGTTTGCTGACAGAACGGGCCCCAGAGGCAGCACTCAGCCAGCTGGGTTAGGACTTGGCAGAAGTGAAAGCAGGAAGGGCTGGGCAGGTATTGGACACAGGGGACGAGGTGAGATGAGGGGCCCAGGAAGGAGCCACAGCTCTGGGTAAACCAGGCCTGAAGGAATAAGGCAGGAAGAGCCACACAGCAGGGTGGATGAAGCCAGTGAGCTCCCACCCCACCAGTGGTCAGCAGAGGTCTGACTCAGTGTTGATGGGGGAGAAGTGCAGGGGTGGGGTCACACAAGGTGACAGAGGTCAAGCTAGCAGCAGGACAAGGTGGTAAGGCATTTCCTCTCAGAGGCTTGGCTTTCCCCTCCATGAAATGGGTGGATATTAAAAACTCTCTCCCTGCCCACAAGATCCAGCCAATGAACCTGTCTGTAAATGATGATTCAGCGAGTGGCCTTGCATGGAGCTAGCTCTGTGCCAAGCAGATCTGAGGTAGCTATCGCTGTTCCCATTTTACACATGAGGAAATTGGGCCTTGTAAGGTGACATGCCCAGGGTCACATGGTTTGCTGGGCCCAGTTAACTCTAAGCCTCTGTTCTCAGTGACCACGCAGACTGCTTCTCAGTGCTGGTTCTTGGGACGCAGCTCACTGGGGGTTCCCTTCCGGGGAGGGGAGCAGTGCCAGGGGATCATCTCTGAGGCCTTATCCAACTTCAAGAGCTCATGATTTTATTTAAAAAAAAAATGGGGCGGGGGTGGGAGCAGGGAAATGCGGAGCTCAAGCCGAGCTCCTTGGCCCAACTCCCAAGCCCTCAGAGCCAGGCTTCCCCAGCCTCCCCTCAACAGGTACCTCCCCTTGTGCTCTGGGCATCATAGCATCCTCCAGGGCTCTGGAGCCACACTACCAAGCTCTGCTATTTCCGAGCTGTGTGACTTGGGCAAGTGTGCCAACCTCTCTGGGCCTCTCACACCCTACCCTCCTGTTCATCACTGGGCACAGGCTGCTCTCACTCACCCCCACCTCCTCCAAAAAGCCTACTTCCTGGGTTCCTGGAGCCTTTGGGTGTACTTCTCCTCAGCCCTTGTCATAGGCTGTTGTTTTCTCTTTGCTTGTTTGTCTCTTCAACCCCACTAGGCACTCCCTGAACGCAGGGCTGGAGCAGCCAGCCCTGGGCCTGGCCCAGACTGAGTGCTGGATCCATCCACCCCTTTAGCAAACACATCTGCAGCATTGATGCTCCACTTACTGTTGTTGCTGCATGCAGTCAAGTTGATTCAGACTCATAGTAGGACAGAGTAAAACTGCCCCATAGGGTTTCCCGGCTGTTACCTTTATAGGAGCAGATCGCAGGTCTTTTCTCCTACAGTCACTGATGGGCTTGAACCACTAACCTCTCAGTTAGCAGCCAAGCACTTAACCATTGCACCACCAGGGTTCCTTAAGCTCTGCTAGGCCCTATGAATTCTGGCAGTGCCACACTCAGGGCCCTGCCCTCCTCAGGCTCACCACACGCGAGTGAAGGAGATGGGGTAGTGATGATGGCATGTGGTAAGTGCTAGTGTGGGGGCTGTGGAGTGCAGAGTAGGGCCAGACCCTACTGCAATAAGCAGGTGAGTGGTGGCTTTGTACGGGGCTAGCTCCTTGCAGGTCCCTGGGAGAACCACCCACTTCTGTGAGAGACCAAGTAGTGAGCAAGGTGCCCCTGCCTCTCTCAGTTCCACTGCCCTCCCTCCATGCCTCCTTCCCCATCGCCCCACGCAAAGACTGCTGTAACAGGAAATAGAACCACTGTTACCACACACCTGCGAGCCACGCCCTGCACTGAGGACTTTGCCAGCATTCACTCTGCCCCTCAGAAGAGTCAGTGGGAGAAAAACAGGCTCTGAGAGGCTGGTCACTGCCAGGAGCACACAACTAGCCCATGACACAGACAGGATTTGAGCTCAGCCTGCCCCATTCTACCCGCAGCTCTTTCTGGCCCCTGTGAGCAGTGCGCTGCCCCCTCCCCAGCCTGTTCCCTGCAGAGGACAGGCTAATCTCCCCTAAACATGCTGACCGGCCGGGCCTGCCTCACTGGGCAGGAGGCCCACCACCAACCAATCCCGTGTGTGTGCACACACCCTGGCCCATGTGCCAGGCACTGTGCTGGGCACACAGGGTACAGGAACAATGCAGTGACGCTGACTGCAGTCCCTGCTAGTTGACCATGCGGCAGCGTGCCAAGTACTCCACTTGCACTCCCATTCCATCCTCACAGCGGCCTAGACATCTCACAGATGAGGAAATGGGCTGAGGGCAGTTAAGCAATTTGCCCATACAGGGTCAGATCCCACCCAGGATCCCCACTCCTCAGCCTGAGCCATTAACCCCTTCCCTCTAAAGCAGAGTCCCTTCCAACAATGCCCTGGGGCAGCTACAAGCAGCAGCATGGTACCGGGCACATTTTGGCACTAAGACTTGTGTGGGAGGAGGCTGGCTTTGAGTCAAGCTTCAAAGGAGGGGAGAGAAGTGTGCAAGGCACGTGGGAGGGGACACAGCACTAGCAAAGGTTGAGGTGAAAGTGAGGGTAGGGAAGAGCCTAGATTGCCTGGGGTCTGGGCCAGGCTAATCTGAGGGGCTAAAGGGCAGATCCAGGACCCAATCCTACGATGGCCATGCCAAACCCAGACTCAAAAGCTTGGGACCTGGGAGAAGGATGGTGGGGATGGAAGGGGGCTGGCAGGGAGAGGTAGGAGATAAAGGGAGGGCAGGAACTTGATGGGGGGATGAGGAGCTCTGAGAGGAGGAGGGGGAGAACAGCTCAGGAGGGGGACAGGGGATAGGGAGGAGGGAGAGAGAAGCTTAGAGAGGAGGACGGGGAGGACGGGGAGGAGGGGGAGAGGAGCTCAGAAAGGGGAACAGGGAGGAGAGTGAGTAAGGAGGTCAGAGAGGGGAATGGGAAGGAGGGGAAAGAAGATCAAGGTTGACCTGCCCTGATGGTGTTTGACCACAGCAGGACTATCTTTCATGTCTCTGCACACCCTGAAGCGCCTGGCACAGCATCCTATTTGATGCTCCATACGCTGGTGGGGAGTGTGGGGAGGGGTGAATGATTCAGCCTGAGGCAAACCTCTGCAAGGCTTCTCCTCAGCTGGAGCCCCGTTATGGGCCCGGTTGACCCTTATCCCTAAGGCAGTTAGTCCTTGGCTCTAGAATGTTCTGAATCATTCCCTTTTGGACCAATATAGATGTTCTGGCTCATCCATGGGACCGATGGGGGTGGGGTCCAACAGAGGGAAGCCAGAAAAATGAGCCAGCGTATGAAGGCCAGCAGGAGACAGGCTTCGTGAGTTTGGGGGCCTTTGGGCAGGAGCAGGCTGGCATCTGGGGGCTGGAAACAGTGGGGCAGAGAGAAAGGGGAAAGCCAGGAGACAGGGTGGGTGCGGTGGTGGGCAGGAGGAAAAGCTGCTAGAAATGAAAGATGTGTCACTCATCTGGCAAGAAGAGCTAATTCAAGACCCACTCCAAAGTTGAAGAATCAAAAAATAAAAGAATGAAAAGGGGGCACAGAGGGGACAAGTAGCCAGAGGGGACTCCGAGACTGAATGGTTGGGTGGTTTTCACAGTTGCTTTAGCCATGAAGCACTCAGCTTCAAAGCCAGCCCTACTCGAAGCATAAAAGAACAGAACAGAGCAGGGCTGCTGTCTTTCTTGCGGAGGAGGGGGGAATCCACAGAGGCAGATTCAGAATCCACTCATCTGGTCTGACCCTCCCTGTTATGGATTGAACTATGTCCCCCAAAAATATGTGTTGTAAATCCTAACCCCTATACCTGTGGTTATAATCCTGTTTGGGAATTGGTTGTCTTTATTATGTTAATGGGCAGTATAGGGTGTGTTTTAAGTCAATTTCTTTTGAGATATAAAAGCAGACTAAGCAAGCAGAGATGGGGGAAGATAGACTTGAAGCCACATGAAGATCACCAAGAAACAAGGACCTCACCCCCAGAGCCGACACAGAGAGAGAGACTTCCCCTAGAGTCAGCGCCCTGAGTTCAGACTTTTAGCCTTGTAAACTGAGACCACAGCCTTCAGTATGGATTACATCTCAACATAAAAGAAAAATCTTCACAACTGGACCAATAAGCAACATCATGATAAATGGAGAAAATACTGAGGTTGTCAAGCATTTCATTGTGCTTGGGTCCACAATCAACACCCACAGAAGTAGCAGTCATGAAATCAAACTACATTTGCACTGAGCAAATCTGCTGCAAAATACCTCGTTAAAGTCTTGAAAAGCAAAGATGTCATCTTGAGGATTACGGTGCACCTGACCCAAGCCATGGTGTTTTCAATCGCCTCATATGCATGGGAAGGCTGGAGAATGAATAGGGAAGACTGAATCATGAAGTTGGTGAAGAATATTGACTATACCATGGACTGCCAGAAGAACAAATAAATCTGTCTTGGAAGAAATACAGCCAGAATGCTCATTAGAAGCAAGGATGGTGAGACTTTGTCTCACATACTTTGGACATGTTCTCAGGAGGGACCAGTCCCTGGAGAAGGACTTCATGCTTGGTAGAGGGTCAGCAAAAAAGAGGAAGACCCTCGATGAAATTGACTGACACAGTGACTGCAACAATGCGCTCAAACATAGCGGCCATTGTGAGGATGGCGCAGGACCGGGCAGTGTTTCATTCTGGTGTACACAGGATCTCTATGAGTCAGAACCAACTCATTGGCACCTAACAACAACAAGCTGTGAGAAAATAAATTTCTATCTGTTAAAGCTGCCCACTTGTGGTATTTATGTTGTAGCAGTACTAGATAACTAAGACATTCCCCAAAGGGGCAGGAAGGCCCCACTGGCCAGGAGGAAGGCTGCCCTCCAACAAGATGCAGGGCGATGTGATGCCTGAAACCAGCTTGCCATGCAGGCCTCTGGCTCTGGACCCCAGGGCAGATGTTCTTACAGCATCTAGCAGTCACCTGCCAGGGCCTTGCCTCTCACCCAGGTGGGGGTCCTTGTGGAACTCTTCCCATGGCAGTCTTGCTCAGAGTTCAGTTAGTGTATTGGAGCTGCTGGCAGGCCCAGGCCTGCAGCATCATCCTGGGCAGCAGAGCCATGCCCCACCACTTCCTGGCATCACCCAGATGCCACACAGCTCCTTAGCTCTGCCACATCCCAAAGAGATTCAATATCTTCCCCCACAGCTGTGCTCCCTGGGATCATCCCTGACTCCTTCCACCCTCCTAAATCTCTCTGCTCTGCTTCTTCTTGCCATCCCACCAGCATCACCCTCCTGCTGGGCATCACACCATCTTCTGCCCAGATTACTATAACCGCATCCAAGCGGGGCCTCAGCCTTAAGTCTTGCCACCTCCACTCAGCAGTCAGTCTTCTGACTCCTTCAGTGCCTCAGTGTGCCCATCTATAAAATGAAATTACCCATGGCCTGTGTAAAGGATGTTTTTGAAAATGCTTTGAAAGCTGCAAATGTTACACAAATGGGAAGTCATGTTTTCAGAATATGCAGTGAGGGGGTTGTGCCCTGAGATTTTGGGGGACCTGGCCAAAGCCCAGGTCTAAATATAAGGTAGGACATTCATGTATTGAGTCTGGGTTTTTACTGAGCAGGAAACATGAAATGAAGAGAGTGTTGTCATCTTTCAAATGGCCCCCTCGGGAGCTAAGCTCATGTTACCTTCAGATTGCCATTGCCTTCCTGGAAGGGAATGCCAAAGACTTTGGAAAACAACAAGAGCTCCAACTTGCTGGGCCTATTACATACCAGGCAGTGCTAAGTGTTCTGCCTCTATTAACTTATCTACTCCCTGTAACTGGACGGGAAGAGTATTACCCCCATTTTATTGATGAGGAAATTGAGGCTCAGAGAATGGAAGTCACTTGCCCAAGTCACACCTGGAATAGCTGGTGGAGTCAAGATGAGGACCCAGGCTTGCCTAACTCCAGAGCCTGCAGAAGTACCTCTGGACAACAACCTCCATTCTTGGAAGGTGGACCTGACTTTCAGAAATAGCCAGTTCTATGGCTCTAAATCTAAGGAGCAGGAGTGCAGTCCCTCTAGATATTAAAAGTTGAGTTAAAAATAAAATGTGGTGGGAGTCCCATGGAAGCAGATAGATTTTAATTGTCTGGCTTATGAACAAACCTGAAAAGAAGAGGCTTAGCCCTGGGAGGGCAGGAGCTGGCTTCCAAAGCAGAAGGATTTTTTTTTTTTTAAGGGATGGATGACTTTTGGTAAACTACAAAGCCTGAGGCAAGTGGGGCCTGTTGTTACATCTTGTATCTCTGGGTCTCTGGAGCCTTTGCAATATGAGCAAGCAGAGACTGAGGTGAGACCAGAAGGAGAAACTGGCCAGCAGGTGAGGTGGTCAGTGATGAAGGCCATGGCCTTTGCTGAGCTGCGTCAGGGACAAAGTGTGGAATACCTCAGGGGCTTCTTGTGCTTGAAGGCAGGGGCATGAAGGAGATGGATTCTGGAGGGCCAATGGCCAACAGGAAGCTGTTGGAGAATTCTCTTTGTGGGAGAGATTAGGGATAACCCCTACTTTACCTGGCTTCCAGAACTTCTTGACTGTCATCCAGTCCTTCTTGCTATCCTCTGAGACTGCCTTGCCCTCTGAGTCATCGTGGTCCGTGGGTTCACCCACCCACTGCAGGCCATAGTCATTGAGGAACCGCTGGGGGAAGAGAAGGGGGAGATGCCGGGAGCACCGTCAGCTCAGCCCCTTCCCAGGGAAAAGGCAGCATCAACCCAGTGCCCAGCATCAGTCCTCAGCTTCCAGAGCCAACTAGACAAAGGGGATGGATGGGCTGGGGGATCTTGGCCACTTCCCAGCTACGTGACCTTGGGAAGCCACTTCACCTCCTAGAGCCTCAAACTCTTCCTCTATAAAATGGAGATGAAGTACCTGCCCCTCAAAGTTGTGAAGAAGACTCAGATGATTCATGTCATTTACTTAGCTGGGTCCTTGGAACAAGCAAGAACTCCATAAAGTTAGCCTTGTGAGGAACCCTGGGGAACCGTGTGAGGCCAAGCCTTAGTGGGTGTGGCCTGAGTGTGAGGAAGCAGGGACACCCTGCCTGCCGGAACTGAGAGGACATGGCCACCACAGGCCAGCCCCACTAGGGATTGGCCTCATATCCTCTCTGCTACAGGAAAATGAGTTGTCTACACTTCCTGGGGCTGCTTCCTTATCTCCCTTTCTTTCCAACCTGACCTCCATCTCCACAATTCACTAAAACTGCTCACGGCAGAGCCACCAAAAACCTCCATGTTGTCAAACACGGCACATTTCTATCTTCATCTCTTTCAACACATGCCTGGTTTGCCTCCTACCTCATGGGCTGTTCCTTTTCAATTTGCTTTGCTGGTTCCCCATCTATTTGCTGGTACGCAACATCTGTGTTGGAGGGCCCAGGGCTGAGCCCCCTTCTTTTCTCTACACTCTCTCCCAAATATATATATGTACGGTACCCAAATTTATATCTAGTGCAGATGTCACCCCTGAGTCCCAGACTCAAAGTTCCAACCATCTATACTTAGACTTCTAATAGGCATCTCAAAATTTACTTGTCCAAAACAGTCATGACTCCCTGCCCTCACTGCCCAAACTGCTTCCCCTCCAGGTTTTCCTATCTCAGTCAAGGGTACCTCCATCCACTTAGGAATCATCCATGACCTATTCCTCTCTCTAACCCACTATCCCTGATGATCCGCAAGGCCTGTGGGCACCAGCTCCAAAGCAGGCTTGAGTCCATCCACTTTGTCCATCTCCTCTGCTACCATCCTAGTTCAAGCCACTGTTGTCTCTCTCCTGGACAGTTGTAACAGCTGCTTCTACCTTCCATTTGTGCACCCCTGACAACCTGTTCTCTGCACAGCAGGGTGAGCTTTTTTGTCACGTTGCCCCCTAACTGAAATTTTCCTATGGTCTATTGAGGTCTATTGAGCAAGGGAATGGCATGTTCAGGCTCCAAAAGGCAGGTATGCCCTGGCATTGGACTTCTCCCTGGCTCTTTAAACTCTAGGTTAGTCTCTAGGTTAAACATGGGCCAGGGCCCCTGGCTGGAATTGAGGCTCAGGGAAATGGGCCCTGACCCAGTACCTGAGGGGCCGACACCCAGAGCAGGGGACTGGGGGCCCCACCTCTCTCACCTCCATCTCGCCGACCTGCCGTTGTAGTTGCATGCACGTTGTCTCCAGCTCCTCCTGCCGCTGCAGGGATGCCTTGCCTTCAAGGAAAGATGGGGACAGGGTTTAGCTGCCCCATTTCAGAGGCTGCCAGGCCACCTCTGGAGAAGCTGCCCTCTGAGAACACAAAACCAAACCCGTTGCTGTTGAGTCGATTCCGACTCACAGCGACCCTATAGGACAGAGTAGAACTGCCCCATAGGGTTTCCAAGGAGCGCCTGGTGGATTCGAACTGCCCACCTTTTGGTTAGCAGACATAGCTCTTAACCACTGTGCTAGGGACCCTAAAAAACTGCCTCTGGGTCCCCATCTCTCTGGTCTCTCTACCTGACTCGAGAGGGGACACTGTGACAGGCCCTCAGGGGGCCAGTACCCCACCCCACCCTGGGTTAGAGGTTGCTGAGGGTGGAACTGAGTCTCCTCTACCCTTTAGACGGTGCACCCAGTGCTTGGGCTGAGCTCTCTCTGCCACCAGGGGCTCAGACCCACATAGGAGGGCACCGAGCAACTCAAGCGCTGTCCTGGCTGTGTCCCTGGCCCTCTGGGCTCAGCCGTCCAGACACACACAGGAGCCAGCTGGATGTTCTTAGAGCCCTGATGCCCAGAAGTCACTGCCAAGTGCTCAGGAGCCACCAGCCCGGGGAGGTGCCTGACCCAGGGTGCCGTTCAACCCAACAGAGCTCAGGCCATGCCCACTGAGAGGGCCTTTTACCCTGGTTTTGCTGAAGGTTCTGCACCAAGTCCTCCAGGGCCAATATCTTCTGATCCTGCAGCAGCATGGTACAGAGTCAGCATGAGCCCTGTGACTCCCAGAGCCCAAGGGAGTAGGGAATGGGTGATCCCCAGCCCCTCCAGAGAGGAAGACCCAGAATTTTTGCCTATGTGGGGATGCTGGGGAGCTTAAAGCCCTGACCCCCACCCCCCGCCACCCTTTGGCACAGTCATTGCTCCTACACCTCAGATAACCCTGATGACTCGTAGTGAAGTGAGGGGAAGATATGAAGTACACCCCAGGTACCCCAACCAGTGTCTGGGGAACAGCTCTCGGCAGCCCACTGCTGCCACCCAGCCCAAGATTCTCTGGGCCCTCATCAGTTGTGCAGATGGTCTCTAGTCTCTCTATTCAGGATTGTAAGGACCTTGATCAGTCCCAGGCCCAGGTCTGACCCTCTGCTGGGCAGCTCAGTTGGGGAGGTGGTCCCAGGACCCACGGGCTCTGGCTTCATCACTGGCCTCTCTGGCTGCCCCATCCTGGGACCCTCCACCCTGCAGATGGGACCCTGGTCCCTCCCGCCCGGTATCCCACCTTGGACAGCATCTCCACAGACTGGGCCTTCACCTGCCGCTCCAGATCCTGCAACTTCCTTGCCATGGCGGACATGGTGTCCGAGTCACGGAACACAGCACCTGCTCACCAGACAAGTCCTCTGGAGCTCAGGCCGAGAACTGAGGCTTGGGCAGCAGGGGCAGCATTCCCAGGGGCCAAAATAAAAGTGATAATAGCAGCTAACACTTAGGCACTTATGAACTATTCTAAACCCTTTACATATATCAATATATGTAATCCTTACAATGTGCCTCTGAGGTAAATGAACTGTTATCATATCCTTAGGAAAATGAGGCATAGAGAGATGAAGTAATTTGTCAAGGTCACGCAGCTAGTAAGTGGAGTCACATCACCTTGAAGCATTCTTGTCAGAAAGTTTACCGTCTATCTCATCAAGCCTCTAAATCTAACCTCCGGTTTATGGTGGACAGAGGGACACATTAACAACACTGCGGGCAAACAATCAGACCCATCCATCATGTGGGGCATTGTGCGAGATAACTGGCCTGGACTCTTCAAAAAAGTCCCTGTTGTTATTTGTAAGAAGGCAGGGAGACTGTTCTAAAGGAACAGAAACCACAGAGACCAAACAAACAGTGCATGAAGCTCAGCTGGATCCTAGATCGGGGGGGAAAACAGCTGTAAGAGAGATTTTGCTCAGACACAAAAGGACAAATATTACATGACCGCACTTACATGCAATATCTAGAATAGGCAAATGCAAACAGACAAAAGTGTATTAGTGGTCACCACGGGCTCGGGGGAGGAGGGAATGGGCATTATTGCTGGAGGGTACTGAGTTTCTGTTTTGGGGTGATGTAAAACTTTTGGAAGTAAAATAGCGGTGATGGTAGCATAACATGATGAATGTAATTAATGTCACTGAATTCTATCCTTAAAAATGGTTAAAATGACAAAGGAAAAAAGAGAGAGATTTTGGGACACTGGGGAAATCTGAATGTAGGACATTAAACCCGAACAAAACCCACTGCCGTTGAGTCGATTCCAACCCATAGCGACCCTATAGGACAGAGTAGAACTGCCCCATAAGGTTTCCAATGAGCAGGTGGTGGATTAGAACTGCCAGCCTTTTGGTTAGCAGCCATAGCTCTTAACCACTGAGCCGCCAGGGCTCCTGAAGTACATTAGATAGTATTATGAACTATTCATGTTCTTAGGTGTGATAATGGTATTGTGGTTATGTATTTTCTTATTATTAGGATATGCACACTGATGTCTTTAGAGGTGAAACGTCATATTTGCAATTTATTTCTAAATGGTTCATCCAAAATATACATTAACATTTATGTATACGCATACTTGGACAGAAAGAAAGAAAGTAAACGTGGCAAAGTGTCATCAACTGTTGACTCCAAATGGAGGCCATATGGGCGATACTATACTATTATTTCAACTTTTTTGTATGCTGGAAATTTTTCAAAATAAAATGTTTAGGAAAAGAAAAAATGAGAGGGGCATGGGAAGACAGGCCCTCTTCCTCCTAGGGATGCTGCCCTTTCTACCTGTGATGCAAGAACTGCAGCCATCACCGGACAACCACAGGGGCCGACATGCTGAAGGTGTCTCCGGAGAAAGATGGAAAACCCTGAACTTTTTTTTTGTTTTCCCATTAATAATTTATTTTTGTTGCTGTTGTTGAGAATATATATAGCAAAAACATACACCAACTCAAGTCTCTACATGTACAATTCAGTGACATTGATTACATTCTTCGAGGTGTGCGACCATTCTCCCTATCCTCTTCTGAGTTGTTCCTCCCCCATTCCCATGAACTCACTGTCGCCTAAGGCTCCTATGTAATCTTTCGAGTTGCTGTTGTCAGTCTGATCCCATATAGATAGTTCTTAAAGAGCACAATGCTCAAGGCAGACATTCTTTACTAGTTAAGCTAAACTATTATTTGGTCTTAAGAAGACTTCAGGAGATGTTATTGGTTTAAGGTTTAACGATTATCTCAGGGCAATAGTTTCAGAGGTTCATCCAGCCCCCATTGTCCAGAAAGTCTGGATTCCATGAGAATTTGAAATTCTCTTCTGCATTTTTCCCCTTTTGATCAGGATTCTTCCACAGAATCTTTGATCAAAATGTTCAGTAATGGAAACTTTTGCCCTGAGATGATCTTTAAACCTTAAACTAAAATAATAATAATAATAAATTAAAAAAACCTATCTATATGGGATCAATCTTACAACAGCAATGCAAAGATTAGATAGGAGGCTTAGGCAGCAGTGACTTTACGTTAATGGAGGAAGAACAACTCAGAAAAGGAGGGGGAGAACGGTAGCACAACTCCAAGAATTTAATAAATGTCACTGAATTGTACACGTAGAATTGTACATGGAGAAACTGTTGAATTGGTGTATGTTTTGCTGTGTATATTCCCAACAACAACAAAATAAGATAAATTTAGTTAAAAAAAAAAAAAATGTTCAGTAATGGCAGCCGGGCACCCTCCAATGAGAACATTAACTCTTGATGATGTCTTTGAGTTGCTGAATTAACAGCCCTGGAGCTGCCTCCTTAGGACTTCTTGGTATGTGGGATAATAAATCTTCCTTTACGCCCATGTTAGTTGAGTAAGGGTTTTCTGACTTGTAGTCAAAAACTTCCTGACTGATATAGTCAGAGCTATACACATTTGAGAACTGCCAGCACTTAGAGCATGGATGAGCTCACTGAGGCAAAGAGTGGAGAAAGAGAAGAGAATCCAGGCAGGAGAACAACCACACTGGAAAGGTGGGAGGAAGAAGGAACTAGAAAAGAAGGACAAGAGGAAAGAGCTTGGGAGGTAGAACAACCAGGTGAGTGGCATCACAGCAGCCCAGAGACGAGGGTGTTCTGAGAAGGAGGGACAGTGAACTGTGTTGAGTGCAGCTCAGCAGAAAAGTGAAAGAGGGCAGACAAGTCCTTATTTGTGACCTTGGTGGGAGCAGTTACTGAATGGCAGGGACAGACACCGGCTGTGCAGGATGGGAGTGAATGAGCGGGGAGAAGTGTAGAGAGGATGTAGGTAGCTCTTTCAAGCAGAAGAGCTGGTTGTTGTGGTTACTATTGAAAGGATCCCCAGCTGGGGTGCAGGAAATTCTGGTTTTGTAACTAAATGGTTGTGGGACTTTGGGCCAGGCTCTTCCCATCTCTGGGCCTCAATTCCCCCACCTGTAAAATGGAGGGGGTGTTTGGTAGAGGATTATCAGTGACCTCATAGGTGGCCACCACTCTGAGCACCCTCTGTGTGACAGGTACTGGCTAGGGGTCCTCTGTCCAGTAGCATTTCATCAAGTCCTCGCCTCAACACACTGAGCTAGGTGTTCCCATCCCCACTTCACAGAGGAGGAGATGGAGACAGAGACCCAAGATATCACAGTAGTGGAAAATTCTACCCTCATCCCCAGGTCCTCCAGACTCCCAACTCAGACTCTGATCCTGCCCAGCACTCCACAAAGCTCATCCTGGTCTGCCCAGGTTTCCACTTCTTCCCAGGCCCACTAAATCCTACCTCCTCTGGGAAGCCACCTGATCAGCCCCATCCCACTTCAGGCACCTCCATGATCTCACTATCACCAAAGTCCACTGGGGATGGTGTGAGCCAGGTTAGGTGGGCTATGCAGGAAGTAGATGGCAAGAGGCTGAGCCCCACCTCAGGTCCTTCATCCTTTTCTGACCCTGAATCCTGGACCCACTGACATCACATGTGATGGTAACTCCAGCTTGGTCCACTCCAGAGGCTCCAGCCACAGCCTAGCCTGGGGCTTGGCCAGACCTGCTGAACCAAGGTGGCAGGGGGCACTACGTGGATTTATGCCAAACCAGGCTCTGAACAGGTCTGGGGTACAAGCAGATGGCCATAGCCAGCCAGGGGTGGGAAGTGAGGAGTAGGGTAGTTGCCCTCCCTCTCTGGGCCTCACCGCCCCCTCCTCTGGGGCCCCCTCCTGCTGTCGAAGACCCAGACACCTTCAGGTGTCTGCTCTCACCTTGCCTACCCACAGGGGCGCCTATTCTTCCGTAGCAGGAAGGGATCGAGAGCCTTTCTTCTGAGCCATGTCCATCATCCAGCACATCCACCTCATCTTCTGCAGATAGGGATGCCCAGGTCACCGCTCAGGGGCCGAGGCCTGTCCTCTGTTCCCCAGGGGCATGAGGGCAGAAAAACTGCAAGGTCGAGGAGCAAGGATCCAACCAGAATGGGTCACCTCTGGAAGGCTCCTGGGGTGACCCAAGTGGCCAATGCCGGCGCCACAGGGGCAGGAGTGGGTTGGGATCCAAAGGCCTGAGCCTACAGGGGTCAAGGCAGTGACGTGAGGACAGGGCTTCAGGGAGGAAGGGCTGTAATGGGCTGGAGCAGGCTGTAGGGGGAAGGAGGGCTGGGGAATCTCAGCCCCTACATGGTTTCTAGGCCCCCACCGGCCAACCCTATGGTTGAATGTTAACAGCAACATCTCTGCTAAGGGTGTGGAGCCTCCCAATATGAAAGCTGCTGGAAGGGAAGCCTCGTACTCAGGGAGGGGCTGGGGGAGCTGCAGATAACACTGCAGTCAGGCAAGCACTCTGGCTCACACGGGTGTTCATCAGGTGCCTTCTCTCCATCTGCCCAGTCCCACAGAGGTCCAGGCAGACAGGACGAGAAGACACGAGGGCAGAGCCCACACTTACCATCTCCGTAGATTTTTATTCCTCGCCTCCTGGGAACCCGGGCAGGAAGGAGAAGGAGGAAATGCGAGTTAGGGGCCCCTGGGTTGCTGGTCTGCAGAATAGGGGCTGCCTCCCTCTCCTCCCAGCCTCCCTGCCAAGGCTAAAGGGGATGGAGGCTGGGCTTCTGCTTCCTGAGAACACCCACCCCAACCCCATCCCCAGCATGGGGAGAGCCAAGGAACAGGTTGTGGGGTGTCTGACTCTTCCCAGCAGAGAAGGATGGGGCAGAGCTGAAGGGCAGAGTCTCAGATGGGAAGCCTAGAAGATCTCCTAAGCTCAGGAGCCCACCTCAGCTCTGCCCTGAAATGGCCATGGAACTCCTGTCACTTAACCTCTCTGCATCTCCTTGGCCTTAGAATGACTCAAAATGCGAGAGCAAGAAGGAAAAAGAAACAAAAAATTCTTTGAAAAGATAAAAGTGCTAGACAGATGTAAGGTATACGCTTTACTGAGAGCCCAGCACAGGGCCAGGCCTGGAATAGGCTCGCCATCAGTGCTTGCAGAGTTAATAAATGAACAGAGGATGAGTAGCTGGAGGGTGAGCCATTCCTACAGGGCCCAGACATCATTAGACAGCACAATCCAGTTTATGGTTACAACCAAAGTGGAGCTTCCCAAAAGAAGGTAGAAAGAGAAAGATGAGGTGGTCAGGGAAAGTCACTCTTCTTTGTATTCCCCAAGACACCAAAAGTCATTCTCCTCCAGCCACGGGAGGTTGAGAGGAGACAGGGGAATGGACATGAAGCCCCCACAAGGCCTGGCCTTACCCTGGATTCACAGGCTCTGATGGCAGGGGCACTCTCCGGGTCTTTCCAAGAGAGGCCAAAGGTGAGCTCATAGTTCTACTTCTAGCTTCTAGCCGTCAGGAACTCCCTGAGAAGAAAGAAGGAAGTCAGCCCTTAGGGACACAGGGAACCCAGATGGACCAGGAGCTGGCCTGAAGTTTTGTCATCCCTGGCTACTTTTCCCAGGAGGGAACACTGTCCAAGGAGCAGTACCCCCACCTCTTCCCAACGCCTGACAGAAGTTTCTGCAGGAAGCTCTGCTATAGCCACACCTTGGATCCCTATGCTGATGTCTGCCTATTCCTCAGGAAACCCAGCTCTCTGCTCTGACTCTGGAAGCCTTTGGCCTAGTGGTACTTGCGAAAAGGTGGGGCAAGGTATACAGAGCTGGGCCAGAAGCCTGCGACTTCCCTGAGCTTAGGGTGTGGCACAAGACTACCCAGGAGGCCTGGGGCTTTAGTCAACATAAAGCCCAGGTCTCTCTGCCCCTCCTGCCAGAACCCAGGTGCCACATCCAACACCTCACAGAACCAGAAGGGCCACCCAAAGGCAGGACTCAATGAAGATAGCGTCCACGTGGTACAGAGGGTAAGAGCTCAGGCCTTGGATGGGCTCTGCCATCTACTAGTGTAACCCATGCTTCACTTTCCTTTGGTGTAAAATAGCTTGGCTGCTAATTGAAAGGTCACTGGTTCAAACCCACCAGCTGCTCCACAGGAGAAAAGACCCCATGATATGCTCCCATGAAGATTACAGCCTAGGAAACTCTACGGGGCAGTTCTACTCCGTCATATAGGGTTGCTATGAGTTGGAATCGACTTGACGGCACACAACAATAGTACCGACTATGTGGGGCTATTGAAGAAATAATATATGTAAAGCACCTAGCACAGTGCCAGGCTCAAAAGAAGCACTTAAAAATGTGACCTGTAGCTGTTGTGGTTTTTGTTGTTATTGGCACATAGAGGGCACTCAAATGTTAGTTTCCCTTCCTTCCTTCTTCCTTCTGGCAAGAAGAATGTACATCAAGGACATAACTACAGGCCACTACTCAATTCAATGAAGAGAGAATATTATGTGGCTAATATCTAGGGCCCTGTGTGGTGCAAATGGTTTGTGCTAAACTGCTAACCTAAAGATTGGTGGTTCGAACTTACCCAGTGGTACCATGGAAAAAAGGCCTGGTGATCTGCTTCTGTAAAGATTACAGCCAAGAAAACCCTATGGAGCAGTTCTACTCTGTAATACATGGGCTCTCCATGAGTCAGAATCGACTCGAAAACAACAGGTTAATATCTAGGAATCCTAGAACCAATAGGCCTCCATTAGTGCCTGAACCAAGTGTTGTAGGACAAATCCAAAGAAGTCCCCCTTTAGAAATCCATGCCACTGGCCTCCAGACTGCCCCTGAAGCCACCCTGCAAGGGAACCCATGCTGCCTGCAGGCAGCCTCCTTGCTTTCATTCTGGAGACTGGGGCTTACACACCCCCTCCTTCTTCAGGGGAGCCCTCTTCTAAAGGCCAGGCCCAGAGTTTCACCATCTCCACTATCTACTATCCAGCCTCTCAAATCTGCCCCACCCTGCCCTGGCCCCTGCTCCTGTCTTGTCTGGGCATCCGCATGGCTTGGGTGGCCAAGAGTGACAGCCCCTCAAGCATTTTCTACATGCTGCCAGAGGGGTCTTCTTAAAACACAAAGCTGACATGTCACTTCCCTGATAAAAGCTTTCCAGAGCTCCTTCTCATCCACAGAAAATAATTCATAATTCCTTAACACAGGTGATCTGGTCCTAGCCTATGTCTCCAGACCTCATCCCCCATCGTACCCCCTCCTACACTGAAGCCACATGAACTGCTAGCAGTGCCTCAAAGACACAGGTCTTTGCACACAGGTCTCCCCCTGCCTGGAAACCCTTCCTGGAATATTCTCCCCACTTCTACCAGCACCTTTGGCCAGGCTGACTCCTCTTTTTTTTTTTCCCCCTTGTTTTTTATTTTTTAGTTATTTTTTTAACTTGTTATTTTAAAATAATTATAGCTTCACAGGAAATTGGGAAAATAGTACAGAGAGGTCCTTTGTACCCTTCACCCAATTTCCCCCAATGGTTACATTTTATATAACCATAGTATAATATCAAAATCAGGAAAATGGCATTGGTACAATCCAAGTCAACTCAAGTACAATCCAAGACCGGACTGACTGGTGCAATCGATACTGGTACGATCCAGTTGGTGTGGGCAGTTCCGTGCCATTTTATCAAGTGCTGATGCCCGGAACCACCACCGCAGTCAAGATACAGAATTCTTCTGCCACCACAGAGCTCTCCCTTGTGCTGCCCCTTTCTGATCACACCCACCCTCCTCCCCGCCGCCATCCCTAACTCCGGACAACCACTAATCTGTTTTGTATATCTATAATTTTGTCATTTCAAGAGTGTTATATAAATGGAATCATACAGTGACTTTTTTTTAAAGAAAACAGCTTTATTGAGATGTAATTAATATACCATACACTTCACTCATTCAAAGGTTTGTAAATTACTCCCAGAGTTGTGCAACCATCACCACAATCAATTTTAGAACATTTTCATCTGCTTAAAAAGAAACTCTATGCCCATTAGCAGTTACTTTCTATTTGCCTCCAAACTCTCCCATCCCCCCAAAAGCAAAACCAAACCCACTGCCACTGAGTCGATTCTGACGTATAGTGACCCTATAGGACAGAGTAGAACTGCTCCATAGGATTTCCAAGGCTGTAATCTTTACGGAAGCAGACTGCCACATCCTTCTCCTGTGGAGCAGCTGGTGGGTTCGAACCACCGACCATTTGGTTAGTAGTCGAGTGCTTTAACCACTGCACCACCACAGCTCTTCTATCCCTCAGCCCCTGGGAAACCACTAATCTACTTTCTCTCTCTATAGATTTGTCTATTCTGGGTATTTTCTATAAATGGAATCACATAATATGTGTTCTCTTCTGACTGGCTTCTTTGACTTAGCATAATGTTTTCAAGGTTCACCCATGTAGTAGCATGTATCAGTACTTCATTCCTTTTTATGGCTGAAAAACACTCTGTTGTTGTACAGATATACCATATATATTTTGTTTATCCATTCATCAGTTGGTGGATATTTAGGTTGTTTATAGTTTGGGGCTATTATAAATAATGCTGCTATGAACATTTGTACACAAGTTTTTGTGTGGACATATGTTTTCATTTTTCTTGGGTATATACCTAAATTGTTGGGTCGTATGGTAACTAACTCTATGTTTAACCACTTGAGGAACTGCCAGACCGTTTTCCAAAGCAGCTGTACTCACCAGTAGTGTATGTGGGTTCCAATGTCTCCAAATCCTCACCAATTGTGATTTTCCATCATTTTGATTATCCTAGTGGTAGGAAGGAGCCCTGGTGGCTCAGTGGTTAAGAGCTCGGCTGCTAACCAAAAGGTTGGCAGTTTGAATCCACCAGCCGCTCCTTGAAAACCCTATGGGGCAGTTCTATGCCGTCCTATAGGTCACTGTGAGTCAGAATCACCCTGACGAGGGCTGGTTTAGTGGTAGGAAGTGGTATTTCATTGTGGTTTTGATTTGCATTTCCCTGATAGCTAATGATGTTGAGCATCTTGTCATGTGCTTATTGGCCATTTGTGTATCTTCTTTGGTGAACTGTATACTCAGATCCTTTACCATGTTTTTTAATTGGGTTGTCTATTATGGAGTTGTAAGAGTGCTTTGTATATTCTAATACAAGTCCCTTATCAGATATATGATTTGCAAACATTTCTTCCCCATCGGTGGGTTGTCTTTTCACTTTCTTGATGGTGTCCTTTGAAGCCCCAACATGTTTAATTTTGATAAGGCCCAATTCACCTATGTTTTCCTGTGTTGCTTGTGCTTTGGTGTAGTATCTAAGAAAGCCTTACCTGACCCAAAGTCACGAAGACTTACTCCTGTTTTCTTCTAAGAGTTTACAGTTTCAGCTCCAAACATTTCTGGGATGAGTTACTCTCCTCTGGGCTCCCATAGCCCCTCTGCTCACCCCTCTCAGAGCACTGGTCACCCTGCATTGGAATTCTGTCTTTACCATCAGATTTCTGGAGGGCAAGGACAATGTCTTTGCTTGCCCTTGTATTCTTGTGCCTAGCACTGGGCCTGGCCTAGAAAAGGTATCCGAAATATTTGTTGGAAGAAGGAGTAAACAGATGCACATGTATGGAATGAGGAAAGACTCTTCCTTGGGGTGTATGATTCAGCGACACAAAGTCCTTGGGGTTATTGCCACCCCTTCCTATATACCCAGACACGTTTTCCTGTTTTAAGCACCCTAGTCTAGTGTCTTAAAAAACACACTTTCACTTGTGGAAGCCCTAACCCACATCAAATCAAACTTTTTAAAATGCACCCATATTCCACGTAAGTATAATCTATGTGGTAAAAGCAAGTAAAGGATTTTTATATGTTTACAATTTAAGGTTTCTTTATAAATTCATTATTCATTCTCTTTCATAGTTTATACTTCTCCTTATTTTGTATATATGACTATTTGAGTTGGGGTGTGTTGCACCCCACTGGACCAGTGGCAGGAGTGACTCCGAGGGGCACTGACAGGTTGGATTCGAAAAAAGCAGCACAAAAAGCCAGGTTAATCAGATCTAGCTTTTATTAGGGAACTTACAGACAGAAGTTGGTGCCAAGACTTCTGTGACGGACAGCACAGCGACTCCCTGAGTCACCGGGGTAGAGGTCCTCAAACCACAGTGCAGGGTGGGGGTTTATATACTTAGCACTTATGTGCAAGGATACATGCAAGGGACCCAGAAAAAAACATGTCTAATCTATTATGGATGGGTTGTTTTTGTACTAGTTAATGGGTTCCAAATGACATTACCAGGAAGTCAGGTATTTGGGTGTTTTTTTCCTGGCCCAGGTCACTGCTGGTTCTTTCCCAGAGTCTTTGTGGGCAGGATCCATCTTGTATTGTTCAGGGCCCTCTCAGAGTGCAGCTCAGCAGTAGAAATAAAGTTGCATTTCATAGGACTTCAATTAAATATCTATTAATTTTATTCTTTGTTTTCTTTT